AATACATACAGTATATATGTTGATTTACTCTTAGCAAATTACATACATTGTAAACGAACTAGCGATCATTTTTAACAGATAGTTAATTACTTGAACTTTAATAGGTAAAAAATACATCACTGTTTTTCGTGATGATTTTTCCTTCTAACTCATAACGAAAAATTCTTTTAAGCGTTTCATCTTTTACAGAGAAACGATTATTTCCATTTCTTGTTAGAAGCTTTTCATCATCAGTATTAGTATACTATTGGCAAGATTAGCCTACAAATACGCAATTTATATACTGTAAAGACAATCAAATATCATAGCAGTAGATAAAATAGGCAAAGTTTTACTTCAAATTACTGTAAAGCATGATTGCTTAGGGATCTTACGAAATTGTTATCTTATTATATGTATTTACGATGTTACTTTATCATTGGAACTTACTGTTTCAACGCTTTAATCTCAATTGATTAAATAAACAAAAGGAATATTCTTTACCAAAGTGTTCTTATCAACAACAAAAAAAAAAAACATCGCCGATTTTTAGTTTACATCGTAAAGGAAACTAGAATATTCGCTCAATTAAATTACCTATACATATAAATATATTACTCACAAGGGAACATATCGAACCTACACACGCCGATTTAAATGAAACTTACCCATATAGGATATAGTTCGTGGGAAAATATTTTACACGTACAATTTCTTCATTATCGACAATTCTTCATATTGACGGAGTGAAAAAAGTCCTGAAAGTTGGGGGTTAAGAATGTATTTTCTGGAATTATCTCGAGAATTAGAGGGTCTAGGGAAAAAATTGTGTTTTTTCACATAAAGGATTTTAAAAAATCATTTGTCTAAATAATGTATTAAAACAATTTTCTTTTCTTTTCGATAATTTTTCTCGCTAAATGTTAATCGATTTTCATGTACATTTGTGTGTGTGTGAACTATGGAACGAAATAGAGGATACATGTTTTTTGGAATTTTTTTTCTTCCGTATTGTGATAACTATTAGGTGCACAGCTTTCTCCAAATCTGTGCAAACTGGAGCATTAGGGCACGTATTATAGAAAATACAGTAGACAGTGTTCCTATAACACGGTACATAAGTTTACGTTCTCAATGCAGCAAAATTCCCGTAATTGCTGGTATATTTATTACATTATATGGTAATTGTTTTATGGTGTGCATACTGTAAGAAAGCAACGGTGTTCATAGGCAAGGTTTATCGCTGCAATAATGAAACGCAGGACCACCTCCCTTCTGGTGAAACTATTGGAAGAATGAAAATTATAAAATAAATGTCGATAGAATGCCAGTGACTGATGTCAGTAACTGCTTCTTTTACTTCAAGTAAAATATTTACTGGCGAAACATTTTTTAATTTTAATATTTGTTTGTCAAAACCTTCAGTCAGAATGCAATTGAGCGAAAACCGTTTTTCCACGTTGTTTGAATATGTAGTAACTTTCAAATACTTTTTCCCTAGATCCTCTGATTCACGAGATATTCCATAAAATATATTTTTAACCCCCAACTTTGAGGACTTTTTTCATCCCTTTAATATGAGCTATCAAAAAGATACATGTCGAATATTTTTCCACGAAGTATCTCCAACATAAGTTTCATCGAAATCAGCGTTCGTGGGTTCGATATGTTCCTTTGTTAGTCTGTCAATTTGTAACATACATAAGTTTGGACTTTGCTTTCATATAAGAATTCATTGTTACTAGTAACTAGAATTAAAAAATTTAATCATTTTGCATGATTTTATTAAGAATCTGCACAGTATCTATATTGTACAGGGTATATAAATTAATAATGTACGAAACAATTGATATTAATCGTTTTTAATAAATTCATTTCGATTTTCTGGAAGAAAATTCATTAAACGTTGAAGCAAAGTTGACAAATATGAGAAATGTTCAAAATTGTACAACAGTAAGTTGCATATTAAAGGAAACGTATGTACTTCTTTGGATGCTCTCGTTCGTTCCTTTTTAAATAGTCGAATCTCTGTGAAAAGGCAGCATTATTATGCAATTATATCTGTGTGTAATTCTACATTTCGATCGAAGCAAAGCAACGTTATCGAATGTATTAAAAAAAAATGCATTATTTGAAATTCAACGTTTTTAGAATTTTCAAAGGTGTTTTTGAAAATTTTTAGAAATACATAATACTGTAAATAAGAACTGAGTTATTTGTGCAGATGTACTTAATTGAAATATGCAAAACTATGGTGGATCTTCATGATTTAATTTATATACAGGCAATGTTTTAATAAAAGAAATTGTTTCTATAACAAATTTTCCTGAAAGATGTAATCATTTATTTACGTTCAAGTTGGATTCAATATACATTTAAACCCAATTAAATAGAATATCTTGTAACTTACGAGGTATATGGTCAATTATATACAAGTCATTATGAATATTATATCTGTATTAATTGTAATTGTCGTTAAAGTACTTAT